CCTCTCAATTGCTTTTAAGTCTGAGCCCATCGCTGCCACCACTGTGCTAATCCATCTCATCGGGGGTCTTCCTCTTTTTCTCAAAGCCTCCACTTTACCAAACATGACATTATTCTCCATTGACTGGTCCCTCATGATAATCTGTCTGAAGTATGAGAGACGAAATCTGGTCATCCCAGTTTCCAAGGAGCACTCTGGCTGTATTTCTTCCAACACAGTTCTGTTTATTCTTTTGGAAGTCCATGGGACTTTTAATATTCTCCTCCAACACTGTAACTCAAATGCAGCAATTAGTCTATGGTCTTCCTTATTAACTGACCAACTTTCACATGCATATGAGGTTATTGAAAATATCATGGCTTGGGTCAGGCACACCTTAGTATTCAAATTGACATCTTTGCTCTTGAAACTTTAAAGAGGTCTTGTGCAACAGATTTGTCTAATGCAATATGTCATTTGATTTCTTGACTGCTGCTTCCATGAGTGTTGATGGTTGATCCCACCAAAATGAAGTCTTTGACAATTTCAATCTTTTCTCCATTGATATGAATGTTGTTTACTGGTTCAGTGGTGATAGTTTTTGTTAGCTTTATATTGAGATGCAACCCATACCTAGGGCTGTGGTCTTTGATCTTCATCAGTTAAGTATTTTAAGCCCTCTTTGCTTTCAGAAAGCAAGGTTGCATCATCTGTATATCACAGGTTGTTAATGAGTATTCCTCCAATTCTGATGCTACATTTTTCTTCATATAATCCAGCTCCTTATATTATTTGCTCATCATACAGGTTGAATAAGTATGGTGAAAGAATACAACCCTGGCATGCACCTTTCCTAATTTTAAACCATTTGGTATTCCTTCGTTCTGTTTGAACAACTGCCTCTTGATCTATGTACAGGTTACTCATGAGTACAATGAAGTGTTCTGTAACATTCATAATGCATAATGCTGTCCATAGCTTGTTATGATCCACAGAATCGAAAGCCTCTGAGTAGTCAATAAAGTACAGTTAAACATCTTTCTGGTATTCTCTGCTTTCAGCCAAGATTCATCTGACGTCAGCAATGATATCCCTTGTTCCATGTCCTCTTCTAAATCTGGCTTGAACCTCTGGAAGTTCTCTTTTAATGTATACTTGCAGACGTTTCTTTATTACTTTAGTAAAACTTTACTCACATGGGATGTCAATGATATTGTCTTATGATTTCCACATTCTGTTGGGTCACCTCTATATGGAATGGGCACAAATAAGGATCTCTTCCAGTCAGTCAGTCAGGTAGTTGTCTTCCAAATTTCTTGGCATAGATGAGTGAGTGCCTCTAGAGCCACATCAGTTTGTTGAAGGATTTCAATTTGTATTCCATCAATTCCTGGTGCCTTGTTTTTGCCGATGCCTAAAACGCACCTTGGATTTCTTTCTTCAGGATCATTGGCTCTTCATTATAAGCTACCTCTTGATATGTTTGAACGTCAACCATTTCTTTTTGGCACTGTGACTCTGTGTATTTCTGCCATCTTCTTTAGATGCTTTCTGCATCATTCAGTATTTTGCCCATAGAATCCTTCAATACTGCAAGCTGAGGTTTGAATTTTTTCTTCCGTTCCCTCAGCTTGAGAAATGCTAAGCATGTTCTTCCCTTTTGGTTTTCTAACTCCAGATCTTTGCACATTTCGTTATAATACTGACTTTGTCTTCTCGAGCTGACCTTTGAAATTTTCTGTTTAGCTCTTGTACCTCCTCATTTCTTCCATTTGCTTAATAGTGATATAGAAATCATGCACTATTACGGCACTGTGATGACCTGGAGAAACGATCAAGTTGTTAGGGCTCTGGACAAAAGATCTAATTAATGCCTAGCTGGTTCTGAACCCCACTCTTGGTAGATGAACTTGTTATGCTCTTTGTGGTGCAATTGGTTAGTATGTTCAGCTGCTAAACCAAAGAATGGTGGTTGAGGGCCACCCAGGAATGCGACACTCCACTCTTGCAGGAAACTCTGGTGGTACAGTGGTTAACACTGGACTGCTAACTGAAAGTTGGTTTACTTACCAACTAGTCCGTTGAAGAAAGATAGAAAGATATGGCAGTCTGCTTCTAAAACATTACAGCACTGAAAACTACACTACACTCATGGAAACAGGAGTCAAGAAATCCAACAACATATTGCATTAGGCAAATTTGCTGCATAAAACCTTTCAAAGCATTAAAGAGCAAAGATATCAGGACTAAGGTGTGCATGACCCAAACCATGGTGTTTTCAATTGCCTCATGCATGTGAAAGTCGGACAGTGAACTAGGAAGACTGTAGAAGAGTCAATGCTAGAGAATAATATCAAAAGTATCATTGGTTTCCAGAAGAACAAACAAATCTGTGTTGGAAAAAATACAGCCAGAATGCTCCTTAGAAGCCAAGATAGGGAGAGTTCATCTCTCAAAATTCAGACACGTTAACAAGAGGGGAGGGACCCGTCTCTGAAGTAGGACATCATGCTTGGTGAAGTGGAGGGTCTGCAAAAATATGACTCCCAAGGAAATGGAATGACACAGTGACAGCAGCAATGGGCTCAAATTTAACAAGTAAGGATGGCACAGGACCCGATAGTATTTTATTCTGTTGTGCATAGGGCCACTATGAGTCCGAACCTACTCAATGGTACCTATTGTAACATTAACAGTGCTCTGTAAACCTTAGAACATCAATGCAGATGACAATAGCTAATGAAAATAACAGAAAGAAAAGAGGGAGAAAAAGTGATGAATAGAAGTGAATGATACTATGAGAGAATATAAATTGCTACAATTCGATGAACTGGATCTTTGCTTATGAATGCAGTTGCTAAAAATTCTAACTGAAATGGAAGGATTCTTCATATCTAAAATCAAGCTTGTTTTCTCAGTGCACTGGGTGGATAGGGATGGGCTATTTAGACATCAGGTATTAAAAATGGGGGCATAAAAGCACAAAGTGGCTGACTTACAAGCATTCATTAGTGTTCTTAGTATCAGAACAAGGGTGGTAATATAGAATCTCCAATGAATAGTTTTTCTCTTTGCCAGATCTGGTGAAAGGAGATGGAGAATTATGGTGATATAGTGATAGGATTCCATGATTCAATTGTGAATAACTGTTAGTATGATTCATTGTGATTGTCACAACTATAATTGTAAAAGATATGTAATTAAAAGTGGGGAGCAGTTAATCTTTCATTTCTGGAACAGAGCGTCCTAAGACCATTAAGAATGAGCAGAGTGTGAGGTCCTACCTAGGAAAGTGGTGACAGCAGAGATGGTGTCTCCAGACGATGGTCTGTAGAGAGATAGAGCAGCTGTGGACTCTAGGCCCATTGACTGAGAAAGGCTGTGTGCCTGCAGGCAGGAGGCTGGCTTGCAAAATGTGACCTTTGGATATTTAAATGAATACACATTTTTTTATATGTGTACATCAAATAGTTTTGCTTTGTTGATTTGTGAAAAATAAGATGTAAAAAGGGAACCACAGGGAGGAAGCAGGATAACTGCTGTTGCAGAGATGGGACTGTAATCATTTAGAGGAAATAAAATGTATGATTGATTGAAAGAGCTGATGATTTTTTGTTAACCTTTACTCAACTCACGATAAATTTTTTTTAAAAAAAGAGCCAACACAGAGAGAAAGTCTGGCTAGCCCCCTAAAATGTGAGAGAATAAATTTCTTTTTATTAAAACAAATGAAAGTGCTAAGACAAGAGAAGCACAGTACTGGGAGTATAGATGTACAGATGTGTTTGGAGAAGACTAAGTAGCATGCCATGGCTGGATGATGGGCTTCCTGAGGAAATTAGGTAAGAAACAGAGACTGAAACAGAGTCTGATTTTCATTCTCAAGAACATGGGAAACCATTTATGACATTTTGTGCAAAGAATATAGCAAGACGAGACCTATGTTTCAGGTAAAATATTATTTACAAAGTACAGAATGGGATGAGGGAGAAAAACTGTAGGCAAGCAGGACAACCAACTAGTTTAGACAAAAAAGCATGCCATTGAACTACAGAAATGAGGATTACACAAAAGGGCTACATTGAAAAGCTACAGAACAGATAGAAAGTGGATGCAAAAATCCAAACAAAATCAAAACATATATGGGTAATAATGGAATGGATATAACAGATAAAAGAAACATTTAGATGATCCTCATTAGTAAAGACTGGGAAAGAGAGGTTCAATATGCTTTCAAGTGGGGGCCTAGGAGAATGTTAACTCAATTGCTCATGATAAATAACAAGGGACGAGGAAGAAACATATAAAGGAAGGTCATGAGTTTAGTTTTGGACAAGAGGGGTCAAAGGCATTTAAAGATATATCCAATAGCCAGAACCGAAGAGAGAGACCTGGATTTCTTAAGTATATTTGAGAGTTAAAGACAGGAGAATTGAATCTAAGAAAAATGGATGAGAAAGTGAGGTTAAGACCTACAGCATCATAAATTGTAAGAAAGACCTTTAATAAATACAAACACATTTGTACTTGCACTAGTAAGAAAGACAGAGGCTGGTTAAATGGAGATAATATGTAATTAAAGAATAATAAGACTTGCAAAAACCATATTAACTGACAAATTTTTTTTACATTAAGTTACACAAATAAAGGAGTCCTGGTATGGTGCTGTAGGATACACAATGGACTGCTAATCGCAAAGCTGGTGGTTCAAACCCACCACTGGAAAGCCTATACAGGGTTGCTATGAGTTGGAACCAACTCAATGGCAAATAACAACAACATACAAATAAAAGATAAGAAAATCACTGGGTTCTTTTAGGTACAGAAATTAGAATTGACCAAAACACAATGCTTCTAAATTTCTTTATTATAGTAAATCTCTTCTCCATACTGATCAATATATAAGGGAGAGCAATTCAAAAATTTCAGTGTTTACTTACATACCACATATGGCAAAAAGTTTTTTGGGAAGACAACATTTCCATAGGTAGTCAGCAAATGATCATACACCTGCTTGTCTTGATTGGAGTCTTGATGGCAGAATTTCAAATGTCTTAATCACTTGTCAAGGAAGTGCCACACTTGCTCTGTGATTAAAAGGGATGGGGAGAGAGGAAAAGTGAGTGAGTGAGGGATAAGACAGATTTTATTTAAGTATTTAGATACATAAAAAGTCATAAACTTAACAATTCATATTTCTCTATACAGCCTTACATGAAGGCTACAAAAAGTTCATGGAAAAATGGAATCAAAAGATAATGGTTTGAAGCCCCCTCATATACAACTACACTAAAAATTCTTCAGTCTTCCCACTTTTTCTCATACATCTTCCCAGGTCATGTTAGTCCCTACTGAGCAATACTTAAAGTAAATACCCTAACTACAGCATGAAAGGTCTAGAAAATTCTGTATAATTTGACTGCCTGGCAAATATCCCAAAGGATAGTACTAAGGAGAAATAATCTGCTAGCATTGCATGTTAGGAATACAGCTTGCTTTCCCATGAAATGATGTCTATGATTTTGTTCCTTTCTAAACATCTTAGAACTTGAGTCAGAGTTCTCAGTTTTCCTACAAATTTTGCAGTTGAATACTTTCTGAATATTTTACATTAAAAGAAAAAGTATTTACATTGAAAGCAAACATATTTCAAAGTATTTTATACCAGAGAACATGTTTCCTTATTTCTTAAAATACCTTCAAATAATGGCAATTAAAAATATGCTAAGTAATTTTAATCCTGCTATCAATTTTAATTTAAAAATCTTCAGTTAAAATAAGTGATTCATTAAAATCATGGGCAATATTGAAATTTTCCTGATTCAGATAAATAAAATCTTTTCAAAATTATCAGAACCTCTTAGTACTTCATCAAAAAAAATCACTGCATAATCAAAACATTTCCTAGGCAAAAATTGCTTAATCATTTTCTGAAAATAAGAAATATATCTCATGTGGAAATTTTAATGACTATTTACAATACATTTTACCATGTTTTTGTAATTTTTAAATTAAACTATTTTACTTATTTTTTGGTTCCCACTGTTATGAGCGAATTTATATGCTTAGTTCTTAAACACCAAATATACTATACCTTCTTTGCTACTTTCTTTACTCAGTGAAGTCGATACCTGAAAAAACAAACAGAGAAAGACTTTGTCATAATGAACCTTCATATATGTGGAAATTACACTCAGAAAATTTTTTGTCTCCCATGAAATTACAGAACAAAGTTTGCACACAATGGTTCTCCAACTTGAAAAATTATCTCTTTGATTTTTGTTTATTGTTGCTCATTCTTTCAGGTAAACAAATCAAAACTCTAGAGTCAAATGTAAAAAATATGCATTGAAATATTTTCTCTCATTATCGAAGGCATTAATTGCTGAGATTATGAAGACAGTTTCTGTTAATTACTTCCTTGACTGAGGTCTCTGAGAAGAAAAATAAAGCACATACATCTTAATATATGTGTGTGCATAGACACCCACGCACACACACCTGTGTTATATAATTTATTTAGTTGTCTTCTTGTTGTTAGGTGCCATCGTCAGCCAGTTCCTACTTGTAGAAACCCTGTAGGGCTTCAAGGCAGAACATACTAACTGGAGCAGAAAGCTGGGTAGGTTTGAACTGCTTTATGGTTAGCAGCTCAGTGCTCATTCTATAGCACCACCAGAGCTCCAGTTGGCTGCAACTCCTAGCGACCCTTATATGGTTTCTGAGGCTATAAATCCTTTTAGGAGCAGAAAACAACTTTCTCTTGTGGAGTGGCTAGTACATTGGAATGGCTGTCCTTGTGGTTAGCAGGCCAATTCATAACCCACTACACTACCAGGACTCCTTAGTTGTCTTCTGTTGTTAGGTGCCACTGAGTTGGTAATGGGTCAAAGTGCCCTATGTACAACACAGTGAAACACTGCCCGGTCCTGCAACCACCTCACAATCATTGCTATGCTTGAGCCCATTGCAGCTGCCACTGTGCCAATCCATCCCGTTAAGGGTTTCTCTCTTTTTTGCTCACTTTCCACTTTAGTGATGTCCTTCTCCAGGGACTGATCCCTCTAGACAATATGTTCAAAGTATGAGAGACAAAGTCTGGCCATCCTGGCTGTCAAGAAGCATTCTGGCTGTACTTTTGCCAACACATATTTGTTTGTTCTTCTCCAATATTCTTCTCCAAGTTGTCTTCTCCAACTTTTAATTTGTTCTGTTTATTTCAATGTTTGAATGAAGATCTTAGAATGGCTGTAATATAATCTATGGTGGTAGTATTGTTGTGTGCTATTGAGTCAGTTCTGAGAGCAGCTGGTGGCTTTGAAATGCCAGTCTTTTGGTTACCAGTGCAGTGATTATTGTACAGTGCTACACCAGGGTCATATAATTTATGGTGGTACATAGATTTAAAAGGAAGGTTTTTTTCTGAGATGTAATTTCCCCCCTGAAGCTGAAGAAAATGAAAACAAGTCCACGAGAACCAAAATATGACCTTGAATTTATCCCACCTGAATTTAGAGGTCATCTGAAGAACAGATTTGATACATTAAGCACTAAAGACAGAAGACGAGAAGAGTTGTGGGATGACATCAAGAACATCATATGTGAAGAAAGCAAAAAGTCATTAAGAAGACAGAAAAGAAGGAAAAGGTCTAAATGGATGTCAGAAGAGACTCTGAAACTTGCTCTCCAGTGTAGGAATACTAAAGCAAATGGAAGAATTGAAGAGGTCCAAGAGCTGAACAGAAAATTTCAAAGATCAGCTCAAGAAGATAAAACCAAATACTATAATAAAATATACAAAGATTTAGAATTAGAAAACCAAAAAGGAAGAACACAGTCAGCATTTCTCAAGCTGGGGGAACTGAAGAAAAAATTCAAGCCTCGACTTT